AATAGAACACTTTATATAGTGGTGTGTTGAGAGTAGGACTCTGGAATTAGCCTGCCAGAGTTTGCATCCAGGCCTCAGGACTTATTACCAAATAATTTTGGGTGGTTATTAAACCTTTCTTTGCTGTGGTTTTCTCCTAAGTAAAATGTACATAATCTTAACATCTACCCCATCACCAACCCCATCTAACCCTGCCTAACTTCCTACCCCCATGGTAAGAGGTTAAAGATTTCCTGTCTGGCCAAAATAACTAGCCCAAGAAAAAGACCTGTAGATTCTCAGTGTCGGTTGCCTCCCAACGAAGCAACTAGACCAGGCATTCTCAATCCGTCTCTTGTGAAACTTCCTGTTCAACAAGCACCGTCCCTGCATACAGGGCTTCAATCAGTCTTTTATGGTTTCTCTCCCAAAGATAGACTGCCAAAGGTGGCCAGGCATTTGAATAAAGCCTTTAACTTGAAAGATACAGATCAAACACACAAACTACAGTAAAATCAACTCAGAGTAAGAAGGTACTGCAGGAAATGGAGGAAACTTAATAAAAAAGAACGCATGAACGGCAGAGTTGAGAAAAATATCCCAGAAAGTAGAAAAAGACAGAGATAGGAACAAAAGAGAGCAGACTATTACAACAGAAATTAATCCCTAGATGCTAAACAAATTACTAAGTTTGCGAAAGGGGAAAGAGGGAATAATCAAAGAAAAAGCCACTTTCTCCAATTACAGTGCACAGATTTCCAGAGCAAAGGGTTCACTTTGTGTCCAGCCTAGCATATTAAAAAATGGCATAACTAATACAACAACGTGTACGCCAAGAACAACACAGTCATAAAGAGAAGATACTAAGATCTTCCTTAAAAAAAAAAAAGAGACAAGAGATCAGGGGCTGAAAGACAAAAAGACAATAAAGCAATGAGTTCAAAATTCTGAGGGTACAGGATTTTCAACCAAAATTTTGCTCTCAGCCAAACAATTGAAGAATTGTGTGTAGTATAGATAACTTTTGCAGACTTGCAAGGTCTGTAGCTTTCATTCACCCGTTTCAAGAAGTTCCTAAAGGATGTACTCCAAAAAGAGTAGAGAGTTCGTAACAAAAAGGAAGACACAAAATCCAGGAAACAGAAAATCCAAAATACAAGAGAAATAAAAATACTCTCAGATTTTTAGTGAAAGAAAATTTCACAGGCGAGAGTTGCGCCAAAGGCACAGAGAATAACCAGAGAAACTGGAGGAGCAGAAGAGCCCTGACGGGGAAAATGAAATCTTCCAGGGCACCTGACATATTTGAATATTCTAAGAGTTTGAGGTGAGTTAACTGCATATGCATGAGGGAAGGAAAAGTCTGCTAATCAACGAGTGTAGCACAGCTCTATACTGAGAAAATGCCACGAGGGACAGTATTTGAGGGTTGGGACAAGAAGTGGTATAAGAGAACTGAATGCCTATTTTCCCTAAGAAGTAAATGCATAATACCGAAAACTGAAAAGGAAAGCAAAGTAGCACGGGCATACTATTCATAAACATGCAGATAGAAGTCAGAAGAAACCAACTACACATTGAAAGAATATTAATCTCTGAACACAATCAGGGGTGGAACAATTATGATGTGTTAAGTCACTTTTTTTTTGATTCAGAATTATGTTTGGCTAAAATATATTCATAAATAATCCTGAAGACCTTATGGACAGACTTACCCAGTTTTTAGTGTACCGTGCTCTGCCTGAGGCAATTCCCAGTCTTTGGAAGAACACTTCAAAATCATTACCAGATCCTAATTTGCTAATCCTTTTAGGGGTAAAATACAGGATTATTTGAGTTAAGTTCTTCACTGAGTACAGATCAAAGGTTAACTTAACTAAACTCCATTCTTAATA